CTTTACCATATTCTTATTTTTTCTTTCTTTTCTATTTTTCTTCCTATTTTTTCTTTTTTGCACTTTCTATTTTTTCTTTTTATTCTTTTGTTAGTTTGTACTAGTTTTTATCATTGTAATTTTTAATAAAATTACTATTTAAAAAAAGGAAGAGGATTAAGAAGGATTAAGAATGGAGATGTGGAATCAGGACCAGGGAGGGCATAAGAAGTTAACCTTTTTTCCATATTTTTACTGCCTTCAAAGGAGTTTTCCCATTTTGGATCTGAAATTCATTCAAATCCTGCAAAAAGGAAGCCACTGGTTAAGGCTATTTGGAATGCAAAAATGCTAAGGTGGAAAATATATGATGTGTGTATGTGTGTTCCCTTCTTTCAAAAATGATCCTTCCTTGATTTTTAGGCATATACATTTGCTTGTAGCATGCAGTTTGTCCTTTACCAACAGGGAGGATTAAAATTTATCTCTATACACCAAATATCTTTCAAGGGCCATGAAATATACCCAATCTAACATAAATAGACCGGTTTCAACGATAATATTAATTAACTATCATTAGTCATTTCAAATGTTTCAAATTATATCATATACATTACCTAAGAACTATCCTGCAAGACAGAATAGTATCATCAATCCAGGTACAGCAAATGGAAAAGTTAAGAGATTGCCTTAAGGAAATCATCGATTTTAGCAGAGGGAAGATTTGAACTTGGTTCACAATACAACCACTGTAAGGCAGGGATCTGACATCTTGCACTCGGTACTATGCAATGCTGGCCAACAGTGCTACATAAATAATCGTAAAACAAAAATATTACTCCATAACCTCCTGCTCTTAGCGGGTGAACAGGCACAAAAATTCTCCAAGTGGGACTGGTGCTGAACCTCAAAGCACTGACAACTAGGAAAAGAGCGATGCCCAGAAAGTTGCTTTGCTGCATTACCTGATAGAGCTAACATTGTCATCGTGGTAATAGCAGCGCAGCCAGTTGATGGGGTCCTCTTCCTCTGGGAGATCTTTAATGACCGATACAAAGTCACATGGAAAAATGCCAGTGGCATCTTGGCGAGTTCCCTGGAATAAAACAGGACAGTTTTTAACAGGATGGCTCCCTCTTTTTGACTGCATGAGACCCAAAGAGGAGAGTGTCATTGCCTAGGGACATGGCTCAGGATAACCTTACAAAGGCAGCCGAAAAGCCATTTCTCGGAGTCAGTAGGCCACCAAAGAAAAGTGCAGCAAAAGAAGAACCCAAAGATAGCAAATCGGTATTCAAGAACAAGGTGCATGCCCTACATATATAAGGCCCCCTGCAAAAATCCTAGCTCTTAGCATGACAATGCAGCTATGTGTGAGGTTAGTCCACCAGCCACATCTCAGAGTGCTTTTGGGAGGGAAAGGTTGCAGTGGAGAAATGGTGTCAGCATATGCCTTCTTCATTGCCCTCCACAGAAACCTCTCTACTCTTACTCCCTCAGAGTGGAATCCCTGGAAGAGAATCCACCATCATCTTATCTTCCATTCACCATGCAATGCTGAGAGGGATTAAAGAACCCCCGCCTGCGCTTGAGTTGTACCAAGTCCTTAATTTTCATCATACCTGCATCCCACCCTGGCCACCCTGGGAGATATAAGTCCAGATCAGTAACTTATAGCCATACAAGCCCTTAATATTATGTACCTCAAACCTTCTTTGATTAGAGAAAGGACAGTATCTTCACAAATGAACTTGTGCTTTATGGTTTTGAGCATTAGACAGGATAGATGATAAAGAGAGTCATGATGTAACTTCAGAAACAGAAGTTAAAATATAATGGTACTTATAAATGCTGTGAAGAATATCGGAAGCCACTTCTTTATACCTTTATAACCTTTTTATATCTTTCTCTTTTTTTCTCTTTCCTTCTCTTTTCTTCTTATTGCACTGTCAGTTTTTTCTGTTATTTTTCTTTTTCATTTTTTCTGTTCTATTTTAGTTTGTATTAGTTCTTATTACTGCTGTTAAAACTTTTAATAAAAATTATACACACACACACACACATACATACACACATTATTTACCTCAAACCAATCTTTATTGATCCTGCTGAGTAAATAGATCAAGTCTCCTTTCTTGAAGCTCAATTCCAGTTTAGAGGAGGCAGTAAAATCAAACAATGCCTATGGGAAAGAACCCAATTACAAAATACTCAGGGAATATTTCCCTACAGCAGAATTATACCATACTGTGATAACAGTAGCTGACAGATTTCACGGCTCTGAAAGAAAATGTCCAGTAATTCCACAATCCAGTCGTAGCAAAATTAAATTTAAGAATGAGATTGTAACATCCAATACAATACATTTCAGTTGCCATAAGAAAGACAGAAATATAAAATCAACTGTTATGCATGTTTCCATGGGATGGATGGATGGATGGATGGATGGATGGATGGATGGATGGATGGATGGATGGAAGAAAAGAAAGAAAGAAAGAAAGAAAGAA